TGCCAGCACTTAAAATTATAATGTGCCAACGTGAAAACACTCATAATAAGTGTTTTCGTAGTAAGGTCTCAATCTGCCTATATCTGCCAAATTTGTTGTTTATTGCATGTCTGTCCCCGTGATTCTGTCTCTCTAGCTCTCTTTAAGAGTGAGGTGATTGTTTAATTAAGGGATAATCATTTCCCAGTGTGAATTACTCATGCATGATATAATTTTCATTAATACGTGATGTATCTAACCATATGCACAGGGACTAAAAGGTGACTGGGTGAAATGGAAGCAGTGATTTAAGTGATGAGATTGTAGACAAATTTGCCCTTCATTTCTTGCTAATTTTTTGTAATAAAGTAAAATACATATATATTTTTAAAATATCCCATGGTTGGAAAGACATTCATGAATTTATCACCTTTATACTTTATATTCTAAGAAACATTTTGCGATGATGATAGTGAATAATAAATATCAAATGATAATGGAACTTTTATATCTGCCATCTCATTTCATCAATGCAAAATTAGCAGCCACAGTGGGAACTCCCATCTGGGAGGTGTTTTAAACAGCGCCATATAAATTCCTTCTGGAATTTGACATGCACAAGTTATAAGGAAAGATTTGGAGAGAATGGTCCATTTGAAAGGGAACAAAGTGTCTCAGTTTGGCCACAAATAACAGTCCTTGAGGAGACGTATGGCTTTCCCAGTGGGGAAAGGTGACACTTAAATCCATCCTCCAAAATGTTCTCATAATTTTATCCGACCTTGACACTCTGGCCTCCCCAAGCCCCACAATCATGTTGCCTTGGATCATCTCCAGTTTTCTCCTTAAAATTGTTGCTGACACCACTGGAAGGGCCCAGCAAAATCATCCATCATGCTTTAACATAAACGACTTAGAAGTGACAATGTGTGCCTGCACGTATCTGCCTCTGCAAGCCATCCCCTCTCAGGGCCCAGCTTAGGACATGTTGCAGCCATAGATGCCTTTCAGAATTGCCATTGAAAATCTTCAAGTGTCCTAGTCAGGCAAAACTATCCAGGCGCTCCAGTCCATGTGTCCTCAATAGCACTTGTTCACCCCGAATCCTAGTGTTACTGAGAGGTAGCTGTTTATGTGTCTGCTTCCCTTCACCAGATTGCCAGCTCATTGAGGGCAGGAACTATGCAGTCCTATCCTTGTAACCTGCATCTAGCACAGTACTGACAAGAAAGTAGGCTTTTCATAATTTGTTGTATCAACAAGTAAGTAGAGTGGGAAGAGCATAGATTTGGAGGCAAGCGTGTATGGAATCTAATCCTGGCTTTATCTACTATGTGATTTTGAGTGAGTTCCTTAACCTTTCTGAGCCTAAGATTCCTAAAAACAGGTTACAGTAGCCAGTTCACAAGGAGCTAGGGGGCTGATAATAGGTAACGTGTGAAAAGCGTGTTATAGCCTGTAAGTACTCTCTGGTTGTTACACAGATCTCTGCTGTGTATCGACTATGCACCAGTCACAGCTGCGCTAGATGCTGGAGAGCTACAGAGTTGAAGATAGACAGATTTCTCTCCTCAGGATGTGAGTAGTCTACCATTGTGATTTTTCCTCAAAGTTATTTTGTGTTTTAGGCTATCAGGCTTAGGCTCAGGTGGATCAATCAGTAAATGCATCGATTGGTTTCTAACCCGTTGTTTCTTCTGCATGGCTCCCCTCACCCTAAGTATGAGAGAGCGCCCAGTTCCACATTGCTCCTATTCTTCATGGGGCACTGCAAGCAGTTTTGCAAAGTCTTTATTCTCTGGTGCATTGCTAGTATTCAAGAATATTACAGAATTGTGGAAGTGATGATATCATATGCCAGCAGAATAAGAATCAGGAGAGCCTCCGGTCCTAAAATTACAATGTAGCATACTTTGTTATTACAATTAGATAACTATTCTTTATGAGGAAAGCAGCTGATTGAAGTCAGCCTCAGGGAGAATGAATTCAGATGTTTTCTGGGGCACTTAAAGGTGGATCTGATGCGACTCTGTGCTCGCTGCTAGAAGTGAGCTGAGCTGAAAGTTGAAAAGGTTTGTTAGAACAGTGAACTCCTTTCCAAATATTCTTCAAGCCTGTGTTAAGAAAGAGATGGAAGGAAAATGGTGCCTTAAAGAAAGTCCCCAGAGTCAGCTCATGATGGCTTATGTTACTGGGATGATGGAAAATCCCAGCACATGGATAATTATTTTAAAACCCATTTAGCTTTGATTTTAAAATACATAGTTAATGTTTGACAATGTTGGGGTGAAAAATAGTTCTGTCCCCATGTACACTGCCTGTTAAATGGTGGGAAGGGGTGGGTGTGTGCGCGTGTGAGAGTGTGCGTGTACATGAGTGGGTATGTACCTGAGCTTGCAGACTCACCATCTCTAAGCCCAAAAGGGAAAACACTTCTAACAAGTAAGCATTGACTCTGAATGTTTTTAAATGAAGTGCTATGCTGATAAATCGTTGAGCACTTGTGCTATTGATTACTCACTCTCTTTTCTTTAGCTAGGATGGAAGTTTGTTTTTTAACCAAATATTTTAAGTTCGTACTCTGAGCAAAATATTATGTGGGGAGTGAGGCAGAGGTACACTGGACCCTTGACTTTTAGATGTTTGAAGGATTTTAGAAATCCCCAAAGTCTGGGCAATTTCATTTCCATTAAAAGTAACATGAATCTTTTCAACTCTCACTAAATGTTGAATCTCCCCAAGCTTAATTCTAGGCCCAATTCTCTTCTCATCCTCTCCCAAGGTTTCAATTACCATCTAAATGCTTCTGTCTCCCAAATGTGTACCTCTGGCCCACTCATCTGCTTACACTCCAGACTCATGTCCCAGATTAAATCTCTACTTGGAGACAGACAGTAGGCCAAAGTCAATGTGTCCAACTAAACCTGGGGGTGCCATCTAAGTGAAGTTACCACCATCCATCCAGTTCCATGACACTTCCACCTCCGTCATTCTCTATGTCTAGTCCACTACTAAATTGTGCTGATTTTATTGGTAAAATATATTTTAAATCCACACTCTTCTCTCTTTTTCCGTAGCCACCACTCTAGCCTCAGTCACCATGATCTCTTGCTTGGATGACTGAAATAGATCTCTCACTGGCACCCCTTCCTCCCCTCTGGCTCCTCTTCAGTACTCTCTTCTTTTTTTTTTTTTTTTTTTGTTTTGTTTTTGTTTTTTTTTTGGAGGAAGATTAGCCCTCAGCTAACTACTGCCAGTCCTCCTCTTTTTGCTGAGGAAGCCTGGCTCTGAGCTAACATCCGTGCCCATCTTCCTCTAGTTTATACGTGGGTCGCCTACCACAGCATGGCTGCCAAGCAGTGCCATGTCCGCACCCGGGATCCGAACCAGCGAACCCCGGGCCGCCGAGAAGCGGAACGTGCGAACTTAACCGCTGCGCCACCGGGCCGGCCCCTAGTACTCTCTTCTTTAAAATTTGAATTTGATCAGGTCACTCCCAGTACATAAGACTATTTAACAAGTCCCCATTGCTCATAGAGAAAAACCTAGAATCCTCAATATGGCCTCCAAGGCCTGCATGGCTCCTTTGGCTGTGTGTATTCCTGCCACACAGCCTGAAATAATCTTCACTTGACTTCTTCATATAGTTAACATCTGGCTGCTTTCTAGACCATAACCTCAACAGAAACTTCCACAGGAAAGCCTTCTCTAACCCCTTAAACTGTCACCGTTCAGTGTGCCTGTCCTTCATAGCACTTACCACAATGTGCAGCTGTACATTTAGTTGTATGATTACTGATCCCTGTCTGCCCCCACAGTGCTGTAGGTCCACAAGAGTAAAGACCATGTCTGTTTGCTCACCAATGCATTCCTGGCTGGGGGACTGGTGGTGGGGGGCGGGGGGGGGGGATGCCTCGTCCCAAAGGATCTCTTAAGCCAAGCTGGGCTACTTGGAATTTATCCAAAGGGCAATTGGAAACCTTTGAAGGATTTTAAGCTGGGGAACAATGTGATTGGGTGTATGCTCTGGAAGAATCACCTTGGATGAGGTGTAGAGAAATCCAGACCAACACTCGTGAAACAGAAATGAGGCAGAGCCACAGTAACTACAGGTCCCTGCTGTTCTTTACTCCACTTCTCCTGTCCCTCGTCTCTAAATCCAGTGAGGCCAGTTACTGATAGACACTCCCAGACGGATGCTTGAGCATCACCTAGTCATTTGAACATTGACTGACTTCCTAGCTACATGCTTGAAACTAGGAATAATAAAATGAGAAATGGTCCAGGCCCAAGTGTGTATCTCTAGCCCATATTTCCCACTTTAGTGGAAAGTCTAGAGACTGTCCAATAAGCAGAGAGTATAATCCAGGGTGGAGAGTGCTACAATGGGAGTGTGAATGGAGTTCTCGAACTCAGAGGAGGTTATAACTAAAACACTTCCCTAGTGGAGCCACAAAATGCCTCACAGGAGGGGCATTTGAACTAGTACCAATGGGAGGATTTTGTCAGGTGGAGACAAATGAGGGGGCATCATAAGTGACTGTCGCAGCATGTGCAAAGGCCCAGAGCTGTGAAAGGGCATGGCACATTTGGGAATGGCTTTAGCCCTGGATATGTGGGGATGGGGATGGGGAAGGTGGTCAGAGATGGGAAAAGAGTGATATGTTGGGGCCTTATTGTAAAGGTCCTGGTGTCCTTAACTCAGGAGTATGAATATCATGCTGTGAGCCACCAGAAATCACTCTTAATATCTCTGGGTTAAAATGCAGTACATGAGGAAATACTCTATATTAAATGTCTAATAGTTTATTAGGAAATCAGTGACTGAGCCAGTGAGAGTAATGATCTTCTGAACCCCAGAAACACAAGAATGATTATGGTCCTGAGGGAGGTAAACTGGGATCCGGGCATTGGAGGGAAGAGAGGGCCCTGGTTCCTGCCCCTGGGAGACTGGGTAGTGAGCCTGGCCACACACTCTTGCCTGCTCTGCGATTACAATGGTCTGGATTTGTGTTTTGCAGTTCCATGGAGAATGGGAGGCCCCCCGATCCTGCAGACTGGGCTGTGATGGATGTCGTCAATTATTTCCGAACAGCAGGATTTGAGGAGCAAGCCAGTGCTTTTCAGGAACAGGTAATTTGGTCTAGAGAAACACGTGATGAACCAACCACCTCCCTTCCTCACAGTGAGGAGGAAGAGGAAGAGCAGTGAGGGCTCAGGGAGGCTCTCTGTGCGTCCTCACATCAAGTCCTGAGCATCCAAGGCCCTAAGCAACTGAGGTGGGTGGGGAAGGGGAGAAGGAAAGTGACAAGCTAGCGATTCCTTCCTGCAGGAGAAAAACCCAAGCCCTGTGAAGCAGTCATGGCTGCAGAGAGGAGGGCTAGTGCTCATCGCCATCTGCATCTTCCCAAGAGGGAAGAGCCCCACCTTCAAGACAAACACACTAGAAAGCAGAAAACAGAAAAGAAAGAAAAACGAGGGACAAATCTGATGGAGAGACATGCAGCACCATCTGCTACTGGCCTCAGCACCAACTGAGCTATTAATCCTGCTCCGATTTGCTTTCTGGGTGCTTAGCAAAGTAGAGTGGAAAGAGCACAGGATTTAGAGTCAAATCCTGGTTCTTCTAACTCTGTGTGACCCCAGGAAAGTTACTACATCTCTCTGAGTCTTGGTTTCATGTCTCTAACTTGAGACTATCAATGCCTTACTGGTGGTATTGTGAGGATTAAAGGACAATGCCCAAAGCCTGAATAGGTCCTGGCGCAACATCGGTGCCCAAAAATGTTAATTGCTTTCCCTAAGGAACAGGGTTGGTGTTGGAAAGAGGGAGAGAGGAGCAGAGGGTCCCTCCCAATTGTCTAGGTGATTCCTGACTTCATTTTCCAGGCTGGTCCAGCTCTGTAGGGATGATGCTCAAGGGGTTTTGACTATGAGGAAGCAAATTGGGGAACCCATGGTCCACACCAGACCAGCTCTGTCAGGAAACAGAGTTCCTATCTCCCTATCACTGAAGTCAGCAATTTTCTAAGCATTAAATTTACTTTTCTAAGATTGTCATAGAATCGAGAGAATTATAAAGTGAAGAATGGGTTTGGCTACTGCTTCTACATCCCTTAGCCATTTGTTATTCTCTCAGGCTGGGTTTGGACAGGTGAACTTTTCAGGTGTCATATATGCTAATCTCTAGATTTCCTTCAACAGATGTTTCCTTCAACCTGATCCTTATACATATATACTTTTTGTTAATTTAGAAAATTTGCCAAAATAGCAGCTTAAATCACTTCGTACTCACCAGAATAGCTAAAATTAGAAAGATTGATAAATCCAAATGTTCATGAGGATGTGGAACAACCACGCTCTCCTACATTGTTGGTGGGAGTGTGAAATAAACACTCAGACGTCTACTCCATGATCCAGCAATTTCACTCCTGAGTATTTACCCAAGGGAAATGAAAACATATGTCCCCAAAAGATTTGTGTAAAATTGTTCTTAGTAGCTTTATTCATAATCGTCCAAAATTGGAAGCCTAAGTGTCCATCAATAGGAGAATGAATATACAAACTGTGGTGTGGTCATACAATGGAATACTACCCAGTAATAAAAAGGAATGAATGACTGATATGTACAGCAGTTTGGATGAGTCTCAAAACATTATGCTGAGTGAGAGAAGCCCTATATAAAAGAGCTCATACTGAATAGTTCCTGTCTTAGTCCATTCAGGACTCTATAACAAAAATACCAGAAGCTAGGTGGCTTATAAACAACAAACATTTATTTCTCATGGTTCTAGAAGCAGGGGAGTCCAAGGTTAAGGTGCCATCAGATTGAGTGTCTAGTGAGGGCCCACTTCCTAGACAGACATCCTTTCTCTGTGTCCTCACATGAAGGAAGGGATGAGAGAACTCTCTGGGCCCTCTTTTATAAGGGCATGAAGTCCATTACCTTTCAAAAGCCCCACCACCTCATACCATTACTAATACCCTCAATATTCCTTAGGAGTTAGGTTTCAACATTTGAATTTTGGGAGGACACAAACATTCAGACCATAGCAGTTGAGATATGCTTAATAACGGTTGAGAACAGGAAAATGCATCAGTGGTAGAAAAAAAGAACAGTGGTTGTCTCTGGATAGGTGGGAGCGGAGAATGACTGGGAAGGGGCATGAGGGAGCTTTCTGGGTGATGGTAGTGTTCTGTGTCTCGATAAGGGTTTGGGTTATAGGTAAATGCATTGCTCACTGCATATGCACAGGGATATGCAATTGATTCAGATTTGTGCATTATATAGCCTATAAATTTTACCTCAAAAGGAAAAGAACTATAAAAAATATTAAACAATTAATAATATGCAAACTAAAGTATTTAGGGAAGAAGTATACCGATGTATGTAACTTACTTTGAAATGCATCAAAACGTGGATTGACAATTGGATAGAGACATGAGCAGGTTGACAGATACATGATAAAGTAAGTATAGAAAATGTTAATTGTAGAAGCTAGATGGTGGGAATATGGGTGTTCACTATAATATTCTCACAACTTTACATTTGAAAATTTTTATAATAAAATTGTGGGGAAAAAATAGCTCAGGTTGGAAAGTGGAAGGCCAGTCAGCTGGAACATATTTTATTTTGGTTTCTAATGGTATAATGTCCATTTGTGTCATTGCAGTTGAGTAACTTGCTTCTAAAATTAAATTTAAATAATATTCTGGAAGGTTAACATAAAAAAGGACTTAGCTGAAAGGTCTCTTGGCCAAATTCCCAGCTGCCCAAAAGCATTTTTCAGATGGAGATTTGGCTCAGACTCCTGTGAGGCACATGTCCCAGATTGGAGGGAGGGGGTATTCTTTGGGCCTTCCGGATTCTGTGCAGGACCTCAGAATGGAACTGGCCCACTCTGAGCTTGGCCCAGGAGCCGGCCCTTTCTCCAATGGATGACATCACTCTGGCACCAGCGACAGTGGGATGCAAAAGGGAACAAATTCTCCCAAAGCATTTCATTCAGAAGTCCTTCAAGAGGGGAAAGGAGTATCATCTTGCTACTGTGTTGAGCCCACCAAGTCGGGAGCCTGAGAAATGAATTCCCAGGGGACTGGAGTTTTGCCAGCTTGAATTCCTTCATTCTACTAGAAAGGTGATTGGGTGAGGGAAAGAGTCTGCCTTGAATTATTCTCTGGAACTGATCCAAATCTTCCTTCTGCTGTGAAATTCTCATCTTTGCTCTTCTCATTAAAGGAGGTGGAGGGCGAGGAGGGACTCAGCAGCGAGGCTCAGGCTAAGAGAAGTAGCTGCTGTGGTTTCCATGAGGACTGGGGATCAGGATCCTCTACAGTGTTCACCTACTTCTTCTGTCTTCGTGCTTCAGAGGCTGTTGGTGTTTAACCTCCAACAATCTTCTTGGCAATGAACCTCAAGCAGTCAGCAGTCACTCACCAGGCTCATACCAGTTGGGAAGACTGCAGGCCACCCCCAGCCCAAACACTTGACCCTTCCAGGCACATCTTCTAGGTCATAGCAGCTGAAAAACAATAGAATGGCCACAGCCTTAAATATCCTCAGGGAACGCTTTGCCCTACCATTTGATGGAAGTAAGCAGAGGTGGAGAGCATCCTTGAAACTACCTGGGAAAAGGGCAGGTCCAGAAAGGGGAGCATGGGTGCCAATGATGTGGGGAGCTGAGTTTCATGGCTGACTGTTAGGTACTGAATATTTGTGTCCCTCCTAAAATTCATATTTTGAAACCCTAACTCCCAATGTGATGGTATTAGGAGGTGGGTCCTTTGGGAGATAATTAGATTTAGATGAGGTCATGAGGGTGCAACCTTTGTGATGAGATTAGTGCCCTGAAAAGAAGGGACCAGAAAGTTTGCTCTTTCTCTTTGCCATGTGAGGATACAGCAAGAGGGCAGCCATCTGCAAGCCAGGAAGAAGCCCTTGCCAAGAACCTGACCATGTTGGCACTTGATCTTGGACTTCCAGCCTCCAGAACTGTGAGAAATAAATTTCTGTCTTGTTTAAGGCACCCAATCTATGGTATTTTGTTACAGCAACCTAAGCTTACTGAGACACTGACACTGACGCCAGACGTGTCCACCATCAGATGGACCAACTTTCAGGAGAGTATCTGTCCTCATGGTATCGTCTCAGAGTATGTTTTTAGATATTCTGTTGTTGTAGCAACCAGAGTCAGATGTGGCTTTCTAGTAGCATGCTCTGTTGGAAGATGTCAGGCCATTGAGTGAGTTTGTCCAAAGTGTAGGAATGGCGTCCCATGTTCCTGTGGGATGGAGAGGCAACTGGGTTAAGCTGATGATCTTTGCATAACCTCCTTTTCTCTGTGCAGGCACACTGCCACATAACAATTATCTCCATTAAGTTTCCCACTGGTGTAATTATCTCCATTAAGATTTCTTCTGACAAACCTCTTTTGAGTCCTCCACGTGAGCCACAACTACAAGCCAAAACAACTGTCAAGAGGGAAGGCCTAGGCCCCTGCCCAGCTCCCTACCCAACTCCTGCAGTGATCCAGTGTGGATAGAGTGTGGGTTTGGGGTTGTATTACTGTTCTGGCCATTCCCCTTTTATGACTAGTGATGTCACCCTCCCTTCGTCCACTGGCTTCATTAACATTGTGCTCCAGAGGGTTCACTGGCACATAAGAGCAGGAGGCGGTGATTGCAGCACTGTCGGTACTGTCTCTCCCACAGACACATAGTGTGGTGGCTATTTTCCCAATTGTCTTCTAGCAGACAGACCTCTTAGGCTGTGGTGAAAGGCATGAGTGAGAGCCACGACTCCTGGTTTCTTTTCTTCTGATTGACTCAAGGTCACTGGATGATTCTGGAGAGTTTCCCTTTCTAGGACTCGGATTTCTATAAAGGGAATGTTGAGTTAAACAAGCAGAATGTTGCGCAGGCTCCTGCTTTAAGAGTCAAGTGTTATCCCGGAACCGGCCCTCATGAAGTATGCTTTCAATGCACAGCATAGGACATGAAGTCACTTGAGATGTTGTATATACAGTATTGAATTTTTGTAACTGGATGATAAAAAATTGGCATTTGCCAGGGATATGAGTTTCCTGGTTTTCAAGAGTCAAAGGTACTTCAGGAATTTTACTTTCCTAAGAGCTTTAGTTTTAAGAGAGAACCTTTTGACTAACTTCATTCAAATCATTTCCACTTTCCTCACACAGAACATTTAGAATAAGGTGTATTTTGTCAAACTCCGAAGGCTAAATGAGCATCATTCTCTGATGTAGAGCCATCTCCATTGACAATGCTTTTAGTTGCCAGTTAAGGAATTCTGGCAGTCCAATACAGCAACCTCACCACCCAAACTTGACCCTAACTACAGACCACAAACAGCTCTGCCTGTTGTAGTGGCATTCATTTCTGTGTCGTCGTCTATCTGACTCATATACACAGACTATATATGAAGATAGAGATCTGCCATTAAATCAATGCCATATAATTCATATTGTTCAGATTCCTCAAACTTACGAGTAACATCAGTGATTCTGTTTCTAGAACAATATGTATCACTGCGATAATTTTTTTCTCAGAGTACCATGACAAAATAATATGCAACTCATGGTGACAAATTTAATTTTACTCTATTATCTCCTCACTTTCCCTAAACCACATGAATGAGAACAGCATTTTACTCTGAAATGCCCAACTGGTTGCTTAAGCCATTCATTTGAAACACAAAGATTGGCATTTCTTTTTAGATGGCTCATTGCTATCTTCTGATACATTTCTGAGTCCACTGACTTAATAAATATAAACAAAATTTCTTATTACTACAAATTGCCAAGTAACACTAACCACCTCAAATGGGGTAGTAAAGTGGGGAGGCCAATCAGAGCAACCCTGAGCAGGTGTCCCCACTCACCAGATGGATTTCAACTGTAGTGATTCTAGATGGATATTTCTAATTAGACCTGAGACAAATCCAGGTTTTGAGTGGCCTAAAGCTTATGCAATTCTAAAAGCCCTCCTTGGGAAAAAAATTACAAAGTTATGAATACAAAATCGCCAAGGCAAAACCTAAGCTTTGTTAGCTTCATGGTAAATCTAGCTCTGAATTAGACCAGTTAAAACTCCACAAATTAGGAATAACTTTTGTTACTTTTTCAGCATTTTATAATACCAAGTACTAAAAATATTCAAAGTGCTTTGACATCTGATATTACTTAACAGTTGATAGCTTCTGAAATGCTTAAAATATTTTATAGCATAATGCGCAGGGGAAGTGGTAACTCCAACTCCGCTGATGTGTCTCTTTGGCCCATAAAAATTTAGGAAAGAGTTAAAAAGCAAGTGGGTAAAGTGGCTGGCCCTGTGGCCGAGTGGTTAAGTTCGCGCGCTCCGCTGTAGGCAGCCCAGTGTTTGGTTGGTTCGAATCCTGGGCGCGGACATGGCACTGCTCATCAGACCACGCTGAGGCCATCAAACCACGCTGAGGCAGCGTCCCACGTGCCACAACTGGAAGGACCCACAACGAAGAATATACAACTATGTACCAGGGGGCTTTAGGGAGAAAAAGGAAAAAAAATAAAATCAAAAAAAGCAAGTGGGTAAAGCTTACAATAGGAAAATGGCCAAGAGAATGAAAGCAAAACTGATAAGGAAAGAACCTTTTGAGTTTTTGATTGAAATAGAATAGATTTCTATAAACCAAAAATCCCAAATGGTTAAGTCATTCCTTTGAAATGAGAACAGTTATAAGACATTATAAGACAGTCAGGTATGTGGTTCTTCTTTGGTTTATTCACTTGTTCAGTTGTTTCCATAGTTGTTACAGCTTTCTCTAACACTCATTAGGATAAATATAAAATTATGAGAGTAAAATGATGCTCATTATTAGGAGTATTATTTTACTTTAATAAAACCACTTGAAACCATTGTAGATATGAGAACCATTTGAAGGAAGCACAGAAGACTCCAGGCAGACGGAGGATCAAATACAAAGGCATAGGGACTGAAAAAGCATGGTTTAGCTTGAGAACTCAGAGCAAGAGGTGTGGTGCAGGGAATGCCCAGGGATATGACTGAAAGGTAAATGGGTCCAGATAACAGTCTGGTTTGCTGGCAGAAGAGAGACTTTATGTGAGAGGCCCTAGGAAACCACTGAAGGATAATAAGTGGGGAGTGCCATGAGGAGATGTGGTTTTGAAACATTAATCTAGTGGCCATGTGGAGAGTGGCTTGGAGGACAAGGAGACAGAGGCAGGAAAACTGCTATGATTGTTCCATTGTGGATGGAAAGAGAGAGATGGATTAGAAAGTCCAGGGAAGATAGTCGAAAGAATTTAGTGAGTCATTGGCAATGGAGGGGGAAGCTTTGTCCCGTCTCAGTTCTCTGCTGTAGCCCTAGGACTGAGCTCGTTGCTCACACATGGGAACGGGAGGAGGTTTGGGGGACTACTAAATTTCCAGATTGAGTGGTTGTAAAGTAGTGCCATTAACCAGGATGTGTGTGGGAGGTAAGTTTTAAAACGGGTACAATGAGTGCAGATCAGGGCACATTAAATTTAAGGGCCTGTAATACATCTAAGAGGATATTTCCAGCAGGCAGCTCAAGGGGCGAGTGAGGCCTAGAAACAAAGATATGAGAGTCATCAGCAGTCAAAGGAGGGGGTGAGAATGAGAGAGGCATTTAGAAGGACAAAAGAAAAAGGCCAAGGACAGCCCCCTGGGGAATACCAAGGTTTTAACTCAGGAGAAGAAAGGCAACTAGCAAAAGCAACAGAGACAGAACATTCAGGGAAGTGGAGAGAGAACCAGTAATGAGACTTTGTTAGAAACCAATGAAGGAGAGAGTTTCAAAGAACATGAAATGATAACAAAGTCAAATACTTCAAAAGGTGAAGCCCAACAGGGTCTGTGAATGATGGTGGAATTTCAATGGAGTTGGGGGAGGAGAATAGATGACTGTTGGGAGGTGGAGAACCCCTTCCTCCAAGTGGATGAGGGAGTGGGAGGCAGGCAAGTGGAGGGGGAACCAGTAGCTGGAGGGTCATGAAGGCACGAAGGCTATTTTCTAAGAGAGGAGACAAACTTATTTACATGCAGGAAAGTAGCCAGAAGAATTGGACAGGTTAAAATGGAATGAAATTGAGGACAGTTAAATGAAGAAAACTCCCTGAGGATAAGGAAAGGGATGAGATCAAAAGAGTATGGAGGGGCAAGGAATGGAGAAATTAGACCCCTCATGCACTGTTAGTGGGAACGTAAAATCGTACAGCTGCTGTGGAAAAAGCATGGCAGTTCTTCAAAAAGCTAAGCACAGAATTACCATATGACCCAGCAATTCCACACAAAGAATTGAAAGGAAGGACTAAACAGAGAGTTATACACAAATGTTCACTGCAGCATTATTCACAATAACCAAAGTGTGGAAACAACTCAAGTGTCCATGAACAGATGAATGGATAATCAAAATTTGGTGTATACATATAATGGAATATTATTCAGCTGTTAAAAGGAATGACGTTCTGATACATCCTACAACATGGATGAACCTTGAAAACATTATGTTAAGTGAAATAAGCCAAATATTATATTATTCCTTTTATGTGAAATATCGAAAATAGGCAAATTCATAGAGGCACAAAGTAGATTAGAGGTTAACAAGGGCTAAGGGGGAGGGGAGAGTTATTGCTTAATGGGACTTCCGTTTGGGGTGATGGAAGAGTTTAAAAGATAGTGGCATGGCTGCACAACATTGTGACTGTAATTAATGCCACTGAACTGTACACATAGTAATAGTTAAAATAGCCTATTTCATGTTATATATATTTTACTATAGTAAAATTTAAGAATTTAATGTCAGCCATAATGTACATGATAGTTCAATTTGGTTAGTAAAAATATGCAACTATTTTATTTTAAAAAAATAGGAAGAGATTACTTCTGAGCAAGACAGGGATATCTTCCCGTGTCTTCCTATCTTTCCTCTACCTTCCTATGCTCTGGGGGCATAGGTGAGGATGTGTACAGGTGTGGCTAAGATTGCTGTTGTCCTCAAGGACATGAGGGTTTTTCCTGAGCCTCTATTTCCTTTGCTGAACAAGACCCAAACTCTTCTGCTTAGAGTGGACAGGGATGGTGAGAGATTAATTAGGAACTAGAGGAGAGCAGTGAAGGTTAGTAAGAGCTACCAAGAAGAATGGGAGAGGGAGCTGACCAAGGACAAATAAAAGAACTGTTGAGGTATTCTGTTGCCCCAGCTGAAACTGGCACACTGCACGTGTATAGTGCTTCATCTTCATGGTTTCTTGATTTTTTTTTCCCCAGCTCCACCAGGTATAGGAGTCAGAGAAGCTGAATTGCTAAACTGCTCCTGGATGGGGTGTTTGTGTCATGGGCACAGCAGAGGGCTGATAGCTTAACATGGTGATTTGAGAGGGCATGTAAAAGAATAGTCCCCAGAGCAAACCAGTGGGTGTAGACTTGGTACAAAAGAAGATTTTGAAGAGGACTCATAACCCTGGAGAAAGTGGAGTTGAAATGAAAGAGTAGGTGTAACAGGAGAGAGGAGTGAGCTAGAAAAGGATGGTGGACTTTCAGTGTTGCAGAGGGAAGAACCTTCTGGTTGCTGACATTAGAAGAGTAGGTTCTAAAAGTGAAGGCGAAGTTGCCAAAATGGTTGGTATATTTGAGTAGACTAACTGCCGTCACAAGTAGATCAAAACATGTATAATGGCTTGATTACGGTAAAAGTTTATTTCTTAGTCATATAAATAGTCCAAGATGGTTGGTGGGGGTATTCTGCTTCATTGTAATTCAAGGACCCAGCCTGACGGAGGCTCTGTCATCTTCAACTGGAAGGTTTTAGGATCGTCTGGGCATTGACGTCCAGTTGGTAGAAGGATAAAGAGCAAGGAAGGGTGCACATCGGTGGTTTTATGAATCAGATCTGAAAGAGGTGCACTTTGTCCCTTCACATGTCATTGGCCAGAACGTGTCATGTGGCCACACCAAACTGCAGGGAAGTCTGGGAAATGTGTAGTTGTGTGTCCTGGAGAAAGAGCAGCGCTTGCTACACTTGAGCTTTACAGCCATTTTTGAAAGCATTTGCTACGTGATGCTGCTACTTTGTTTTGTTCTTAAGTCTAGAGATAAATTTCAAAAAGGCTAACTTTAAAAGATCAACTGAAGTGAAGAAGCTTTATGTGACCCTACGTGGAAAGCCTTCACTTCTAATTCTGCTCCCTAAATCTATTCTTTTTTAAAAATCTAGGCAGACATCTCTGTAAGCCGGTTTCCTCATCTGATGAAGTGAGCTTCATTCTTTTTCCTTCATCAGATATGTGTACAAGATTTTGTTGTTGTTGTTGTAGAGCCCTTTTATCACCAAATTTGTGCTGGCAGCAAATATTAAATACAGGGAGACACCTATTAAGTCACTGAAGGCATTAGCCCTCGCAATGAACCAAAAATAGATTTTGTGTCTGATTTAAGTGCAAGACCCATTTTGCTTCCGACTGTTACTTTAACAAATAGGTAAAGCCCTCTTTTTGTGCCACACAAATAGTTTCTCTCTGTTAACAAGCTGCTCAATGTTGGTTTTTTTTTAACTAGGTGAAGTCACCTCAATATGTATATTATCCACCCCAAATTTTCCACCAATAGGAATGCAAGTTAAGCACAGCATCAGCTGAGAGTCATTAGCTGATAATGTTGAGCTCATAGTCACTCCACCCACAATGAGCTGCAGAGGGCGGGGTGGGGGTGGGCGCATTGTAGAGGATACTATCCCAAAGAGGAATTTCTCCCCAAGAAGAGACTTTGTCCCAAGAACCATGTGATAAGATTCAAAGGGTCTTGTTGTGGACTTGAGTAGTTCACCACCTTCCTTTCCAAAGTTATATGGAAATTCTTCAGAAAATAAACTCTGTCTTGGTGAGGAAGGGACCTTTAAAGAAACATGGTGAATTACTACCAAGTACTAGGGGTGCCTCAAAATGCTTCCTCTTCTGATATTAAGAAGGCTTACCACAAGTTAGCTCTTCAGGTACACCCAGACAAGAACCCAGAAAACAAGGAGGCAGCTGAGGAGAAATTCAAACAAGTAGCAGAGGCCTATGAAGTCTTGTCTGACGCCGAGAAACGCAACAACTATGACAAGTCCAGAGGAAGCAGCATCAAAAAGGGAAATAGAGAAGACAACAGAAACAGAAACCATTTGAAGGAGGAACTGTGGTTTGAGAGGCCACACGGTGGCTTTCAAAATGTCTTTGAAGATGAAGACCTCTTCTCAGGAGATTATTTTTCCATTGGCCATTTGGGTAGAGCCGTGAGATTCCGCTCCTCCTTCTTTGATGTGACCCCCATATCGGACACAGGATTTTCCACTTTTATATCCCCGGGTTCCAGACCAAGTCCCCCTTCCTCTGGGACATTTGTACCCTTTGTAAGCAGTGGAATGGGAAACTTCAGACTGGTGACCACTTGTAGCCAGATAGTGAATGGCAAGAGGATCGTTACAAAGAAAGTTTTAGAAAATGTGAGGAGAAAGACTGAAGTGAAGAAAGAAAGCCTATTTCATCAGATTCCTCCACATCATTGGTAAGGAGTTGCTGCTATCTTCTTTCACAGAGAGACTTTCCTGTGAGTCTGATGCTTATCAAAGACAGAATTAGAATCTGAAAGTGTATTGAACTGGAATGGACAGAAGTGAGCTGAGTCCAAACTTCTCATTTCACAGAGGAAGCAAGTAATGGGCCAGATGTTACACGAGGAACTAGGAAGCATCAGAGTTTGGCTTCCAGCCCAAGTCGTCGGATTCTAAACTGAGCCATCTTTTCTCTTGCACTATATTTGGGACAGTAGAGACCAGCACCATAAATATGTCCTTCTGAGTCAGTTGCAGGACCCCACCATCATAAATCCCATTGACTTCCTTGGACTTTTTTTCCTGCTCTACCTTGCTGTTATCCAGTTCTCTCTTTCTTGATGGCCACTATCTCTTTGTGGCCTCTTCCTATCTCTTCTCTTTGCTACTTCTCTTCCCATTTCATCTTCTTTCTTCCCAAACATTTCCAATGGACCATTTCACAATTAGGCTCAACTGAAAGAGTTACCGAGTTTTATATCGTCTTAGGTTAATGTTGGCGGAGAGAACGAGTGAAACGTGAAAGGCTTATGATTTTTTTTATATACTTCTTTCATAGCTAGCATTTATTGAGAGGTTGGTAGACATCAGGAATTGTACTTGACATGTGTTATCTCAATAATCCTTTCAGCAGTGAAATACAGTAGCTGCTTTCCTCCCATAACATAGATAAGGAAATGAGGCTTAGAGAGATTGAGTAACTTGCCCTGGGCCCCACCTAATAAGCAGTAAAATAGCATCTTACTCTAAAACACATGCTTATCCACTGAGCTATAACATCTATGGATGCTGCTCATTTATCTTTAGATCTAGGGTCTCACCCTCATTGGAAATCTATACTTGTTGTCTCTAAACCTTATTTCCATACATGAGTACTTGCTGGAACTTATTAAGTATGCAAATATTTTGAATATTATTGCCCAACAGGTATTTGGTTACTCTTACATGAAGACAAAAGACACAAGCAATGTAAAAACTTTCAGTGAAACTTACAGATGATTATCCCTTATCATATCAATGTAAACAAGATCACAAGATGTGAATTATTTTTTTATTTTGGCTTTAATCATAATGTACATGCAAAATCATGGGATCTGTTTGTTTAACAGGATATAGTCACACTCCAGCGCCTTCATTTACACTAATGAACAGACTGGGCTCCAGAGGGCTGGCTCCTTGTGGAAAGTTACTGATGGAGCCTGCATTAGGACCTCTGTCTTCCAACTTCCAGTCTCTTGCCCGTTCTAGCACACCATGCTGACTGGCAAAATTTGGATTTCATTTGCATCTCAATCTTGTATAGAAGTTATGCAACGAATGATTAGCTTTCTTAATCAAAGAACTTTCCTGTGTTTGCGATTTTTATGAGATAAATGTTTTATGTAGTCTTTGAACTTTTTTTTTAATCTCAGTGAATTTCCTGAACTTAAACAGAAATATGCCTGCATCCGTCTGGCAAAGGGTAGGATTCAGGCAGGGAGCACACTCCCAGAAAGGAAGCAGAAGATGGATTTGGAATTGGAACACATCCCTTTTCTTCCAGAGCCTATACCTTTCCACTTAGCAGTCATTGAGAACCTCCTAGATGTCAGGCACTGTGCTAGGTGCCTTACGTGAATGAATTGTTTCTAATCTCCAAAATACTTCAGAGCTTCATTTCCATTTTACCAGTGAGGAAACTGAGGCTCAGAGAGTTAAATCCCTTACCCAAGGTCACACAATAAGTTGTGGAGGCAGAGTTGTCTGCAGTTTGCTTGACCTTCAAGCTCATGTTTCCATTATGCCATATCCACTCCCTTTCATCTGAGTTGCTATAGTCATGGGTTAAGAGGAAACTTTTGTTGTATCCATGAATTATATTCCTTTCAAAATGTTTGAAATGAGGATTTCCAGATGGAGCTTTCTTTTACCAACCCTAGTCTGAGGTGAACAGCAATGTGGCTACTGAACAAAGGGAAAATCAAATTGCAGCATGAAACATGATTTTCCATTTTGTCTTAAATAAAATCCAAATTTCAGCATTTTTCGTAGACATACTTGGCTTTTGACAGAAATGCTGAGTTGTAGAAGGACTTTTTGCCAGCAGAGATTAAAAAAAATTCACTTTCAGTTAGTCAAGGAAGTTTTCTTGTATAGAAATGAAAGCAGTGTCATCTCTCCCTGAGGCCTGTTTGAAACCTGTAGTAAGTTAAGGATGAGCAACAGCAGCAAAGGAAAGAGGGGTAGCAGGAAGGGCTTGGCTGTTTGTAAGGCATTTCAAATGAGTCAATATTCATCTCAGAGATAGATCGAGCATGAGCTTTGATGTAACCTGTGACTCAGATGCCTGTGACCTCACAATGCCTGCAGAACCACTACTGTGGTTTCCAGGTGTTGAAAGCTCCTTTGCCAACTCTCATACTTGCAGATTTTAATGATGGGCAATCTTTGGGATTACTAGCTGCCTAAACAGAAAAAAGTACTTTAGAATTGGAAAGTCAATTCCATTGTCCTTAAATAATTTTCCACTTTTCACCTGTAAACCAACTGCTTTTTCATGTGCTATGGTTTTGAATAGTTGTCTCTCAAAAACTAATGTGAGCCATTTTGTTTTCCAGTAGTCGACAAAATAAAGGTTTCTAAAACTCAAAAACACCGTAGACTGATTAGAAGTAATTCCTTGTCCTTCTGCTCTGGTTCATGTAGGGTGGCTGACAAGTGAAATGGGGACCCTGGTCCTGTCGAGGAATAATGACAAGTGATTGTATAACTCATAGCTCAGGGAGCATTTGCACCAGTGGTATCTCATGGAATCCTGTCGAAACCCAGTATCCCCACATTATCAACCGAGGAGACAGAGGAAGAAGGGACTTGCCTAAGGTCAAAAAGTGGGTATTTTGTCAGTCCCCTAGCCCAGTGCTCTTTCTCCCACACACTTAGGCATTCAAAGCACATTTTCTTCACAGCCTGGCAAAATACATGAGAGAATTTGGAGGAATGGCCCTCTTGAGGATGGTGTAGGAAGGAGTCATAGTTTTATGTAGCTGCAGTTGCACACTGTGTCCCCTTGTCTGTCCATCAGTGGGGAAGCGAGTTATAGACATATGTGGGTAAAATCATGAACAGATATGTTGAGGCTTACCAAGCATACACAGCTGATCCATCTTTTGAATCCAAGCCCCCTAAGAACTAGCTTGGCTTGTCCCCACAATAAACAATAACAAAAATAAGGTGGTATTCTGCATTTTTCTCATTGCTTCTTTTCCAAAAGTTTCCAACCAATTTCTGTATTTGCGGCCTTTATCTCTTTCATGAGAAGCTCAATTTTATTTCACCCCAAAGCTCTGCTGTCTCCAGGATACATGGAGTGAAGTAGAGCTGGTTGGCTACCTCAGGAGTGTGGGGAGTGGACTTTGAGGAGAACAGGGGGGGAAATCTTCAGTGGGCAGGGCTCTGCCCTTCACTGGATTATTTGGAAACTTCAGGACCCATTGAGAGGAAGCGTGGTAGGGCCCTCAGCATGAGAGGTTGATTTTTGTGTTAAGGCAGGATGGTTCTCCTTTTAATGAGCAGGAAAGAATTTCACAGAGAATGAGTCATTTTTCCAATGCCCATCATTGTGATTGACAAGATTCCAGAAAACCCAAGACTTTAGTCCCCATTGGTTCATCTAGACAACACATACTTACTTCTGAGTTTCAAGATAAACAGAAGGGGGTTATGAAAACAACATCAGCTTTGACTGTAGGCAGATGAGAGTTCAAGTCCTCTGCCACCCCTTCCTAACTTCTTGATCTTGGGCAGGTTAACTTCTTGCCTCGATCCTTGGTTTGCCTGTAAAATTAAGATGATAATCTCTGTTCGTGCTAATTTATAGAGTTGTTTTAGGAATTAAGTGCACAAAAATTCTGCATAAACTTTAATATATTTTAAAAATGGAAAGTGTCATTATTCCTTTTAGAAGCAACATCTTTGATCCTTAAGGGTACATACTCTAAGCTTGCTGTCAGTTTTTTAAGATGTGACATCTGTGATGTGATCCTGAAAACCAGATCAGCTATGGATTGTATTTAATCCAAAAATAAAAGTAGAAGACGGAAGGTAAAAATAGAAGATTCCGTTTTTTCCATTTAGGCACAATAAAAAAGTAATATTTTTAGCTTGGGGACAATCAATATGACTTTTTCCTTTGAACTTCCTTTTTTCTTCATTATCCTTGAGCTTTTGGACTTATGTGTTGCCTTTACCTTCTGCTTCCATTATAGGAAATTGATGGAAAATCTCTGCTATTGATGACAAGAAATGATGTGTTGACAGGACTTCAGTTAAAATTGGGGCCTGCTCTGAAAATCTATGAGTATCATGTAAAACCTCTGCAGACAAAGCATTTAAAGAACAGCTCTTCATAGGACAGTCAAATTGGGGTCTTGGACCTCAAAAAATACATAATGACATGATTTAGTTTCATGTGATGAAACTTTGCAAACAGAATACATACATGTGTATCTGTAAAGAATTTCAATCGAATGAAACGTTATCCTATTGGATAGTCTAGGCAATCCATCGGCTGACCTGAATTCAGCCAGGAGGAGCAAGGACAGCATGTGGACAGGATTGTTTTCATTGTGGAGTTTGTCAAATAGAATGATCTTTGACGTGATAAGACACCCTTCCCCACCAAGGGGATTTTCTTCATAGATTGCTTTCCCCAAATCCTTAAAAAAGAATTGAATGGAATGAGCATCTTTTGGGTAAATATGTAAGAAGATTACAAACAGGAAAACTTGGGGAGGGGGAGAAAAAAGAAAGGGATTGCTGTCTCCCTTGAATTCCTCTGCTCCTTAGAGCTTGCATTATTTGGATGGAATTGCCGACACCCTTTTTATAGAGGGTCCTTCACTTGACCTTATTAAGGTTTCACTGGGATATGCTGCGATGGTTGAAATGAACGTGCATCACCCGCCCCTTCGGGAGCAGAACCATAGCTCTGAAAAGAGAAACTCTATTGCGTATTGGGGATATCCATCCACATTCAGCTAGCTTTCACAGGGGGGATGGTATTTTTGCAGAGATTTGCTTTTAAATTGGTTGTTTTCGAAGAAAGCATTTTTTCACTTCATGGTTTGTATTTATAACAATTTGTTTCTGAAGAAGTTTGCCAAGAGTTACAGATCAAAAAGCCTTGTTCCTAGTACAGAATATTTTTATATATATTCCTCCATGATGGTGTAATATTTTTTTAATTGCTCTAATGCTTTGTTTGGTTCCTGGTTTGAGTACTTGTTTTTAAGAACTTGAAAAAGTGAGCTTGCTACATCTCTGTTCAAAGAGACATTTGTTCAACCTCTGTGTGTCAATGCCTTGTTGAATTGGTGCTTTGTGGTCGCAATAAAGCATTGCTTCAGTTTATTCCCAGTGCGTCTTTGATCTTTTCTGTTTCGCTGCGTCTTCAGTTGGGATTAAGGATTAAGGTCTCTCCTTGAAACCATGGAGAGAAAGTTAAGCCTTTAAAAAAAAAGGAACTTTAGATATAGAAAATATATAGATCTATCTAGTGGATTTATCTTCTTTATAAACAAATAGGCCTTGTTCCTTCTCTTACTCCTGCCCAACAACCAATTTTAGGGTTATTTCAGCCAAAGATTTTTTATTTGCTGTAGACCAGTGGGGGTCATGTGCTTGTTTTTGTTTTTGCTTTTTTGAAATTCTGATGAAAGCTATGGATCTTCCCTCTAGACAAAAAGCTCATATTCCCACATACAAAACTTTGCAGGGTCGATGGACTCCCTGAAGTTGCCTCTTCCTCCTCCTCCAGTTGAATCTCTATCTCAGAGATTGTTATAATTCAGTCCCTTACGCAGATAATTTCTCTAAAGAACAGAAAGTATGAAGATGAGAGTGAAAAAGACAGGAAATGGTATAGTGAGTGGGGTTCAAAAAGGCGTTCCAAATGAATTCAGTTATGGAGTTTGTGGAGTGTCTGAAATTTAAGTAACGCTCTGTTTTGCATGATAACTGGGAGAAGGGGTTACAAAAGAGACATCTTCCATCCCCAAGTTCTCACAGTCTACAAAACGTATAAGAAGACTAAAAGGCGGAATATAGTTAAGTACTGTGAGGAGTGATGGTGACGCAAGGGGAGAACCGCACCTGCCGGAGACCCAGGTGGGGAAGAGGGCACAGGAGATCAAGTGGAAGCCGGATGGAGTGAAGAACTTAATTCGCCTCCCTGAGTGAGGTTCCCACGAGTGAAATGGTGACGGTGTTTGAACCCTGTCTGCCTCAAAGGATAGCATGAGGCACGTCCAAGCCCTGCTTCTGTGCCTTCACCTGAGAGTTTTGTTTTAGTTTGGAAAAGAATTGGCTGTGAGTGATAAAAAGCTGTCTCCCACCCTCACCCCTGCCCTGAGAGGTAACGTCAATAAGACAGAAGCTTTCTTCTCTTCATGTAAATATCCAGATGGGGGGACCATGGATGCTATGGCCGTCCATGATGTTCGGGACACAGATTCCTCCTTTTTGCTACATCATGCATGCTGTTCATTCCCAGAAGCATTTTATGGCCCAAGATGTCTGCTTCAGCCATAACCACTTGAATTCCAACCAGTGGGGAGAAGACACGGAAAGACAAACATACCTCCTTCTTCTAAGGACACTTGTAAGAAATTATACATACTATTTCCTTTTATATCTTGCTGTCCAGAATTCTGTCACATTGCCATACCTAAGCTGAAAGAGAGGCTTGAAATATTTCCTCTTTTTGTTAGAGCTCATGGGCCCAACTAAGATTGAAAAGTCCCACTTTTCTACAGATGAAGGAGAAAGGATAATAGGAGACAACTGCCAACGGGTCATTTAACACTTGGAGCAAATGACACCGAAACTGCGTCTTTAATTGTATTTTTCTCTAGATTTGAACTTGGGCTCAGCTCCCTTCAGTCTCTGGCTGTTTTATCACAGTCACCTTTCACCGCCCTTTGGAAGCTCGTTCACTACTAACTCTAACCTAACCCAACTAAGCTTTAGACCTGGACTGCTCTACAAATGCTTGTCAGGAAAAAAAAGAAAAGAAAAGAAAGGAAAATGTCTTCATTGAAAAGCAAACTGAAAGGAATCAAATCATTCCTCAGCCCCCTGTTGACAGCTTTCAGGCAAAATTAGCAAATTAAAGATAGTCTGCCTTTCTTGCACCCAGAATGAAGGCCTATGACAGGCAGGCCTGAGTGCCTTGGCAACAACTGAAGGTCCTTTCATTCTCCCCCTCCCACCCCAGTGCTGGGGAAACTGTGAGATCAAAACGGGCCTTAGAGAGAGGCTGGAAGTACTTGAAATTCAGCAGGTAGGCAGCCTTTGTCTCCAGACAGCTGTAAAAACCAGAGACGTCTGAGTCCTTTTCAGATCACACTGGATTTCTATTAATGTGATCTGGGTCTCAGCTAGAAGTAAATGCTCATGCTACGTGGGGAAGCACTTCATGAATGTAAGTGGGAATGAGCATCCCCCAATGCCGATATAGTTTCTGCAAGAACTGTTTAATGTTGGATTTGATTATTCTCAACCAGAGGGGCAGACAGGCTATCAGAATCATGAGGGACTTTCAACAATAATTGCCACTCCACCTCCCCTCCCCAGCCCACATTTGAACCTCTGCTTCAGACTCCACAAAGGAGATTTAATAAATTGATTTAAAGTCAAGGTCACAAACTGGTTGCTTTTCAGTGGAATCTAAGCTGACACGTTCTCCTTTGGCAAGTGCAGTGTGTGTGTGTTTTTATAACTACATTTACATTCTTCCAGGTGAGGCCGAAAGCTCCATGTACTACGATCTCTCATTCGCTAATATCTTTCAACCAGCAATTTCACACTTGTACATTAGCTGTCTGGACCCTGAAGGTATCTGAACTGTAGACCCCTGATCTAAAGCAGAAAACACACAGAGAGCCTCCTTAGAGTAAGTTACTTCAGGAACTAGAGATTGCAAGTTGAAAAGAAAACAAGCTGGCATATTGCATTGGAATGAGCAGCAGAATCGAGCATCATTTTTGATACTTAGTGGACATGATGAATATGAAGAAAAAGAGGCCAATTCGTGGCAGTCTCCTCATTCTGTCCTCAACAAATATCTTAAATGAACATAGATTTTGTCCCTCTGAGCTTAGCATACACTGTCAGGGGCACACACTGTCCTTCCACTGCATTAATGAAATATATATTTGGAAGAATTTAATTTGAAAAACTCTAATGACCCACAGTTGCCCAATCACTCCCATATTTGGAAGCCAAATGCAAAAGTACTTACTGGTGGTGATCTATCTGCCTTTGACGGTCATTGCAAATAGGATCTGCAGGGGTCAGGTCTGGGCGCAGAGCCAGTAAGTGTTTTTCATAATAATTTGGAGGATGAAGTTAAATGTTCAAAGAGCTGACGGCTGCAGGACAGATAGCCTCTTAGGAGAAAACTTGTTAATTCTGCTTCTAAACCAGGAACAGAAGCCACAGGGAGGAGGGAGAGAGCAATAGGTGCATTAATGAGCAGCTCGTTAGCTTCATGCTGTAGCTCTGTAGGCAATTAAGAAGTCTGGGTACCATTTCTGGCCAGTAGTGGCGGTACTATAGAGAGAGGAAAAGATTAAAATGATCACATCCGAGTTGTGTCTAACCTAGCACTGGGGCAGAATAATGGAGGACCCTGTGAGTAAAGCAAGAGAAGTCTTTGGCTACCCACAATAGGTAACTGGTTGATGTCTCTGCCTCTCTTAGGCAGCGTGTTCCCATCTACAGTTGTCTTTAGGGAGAAATCAAGAAAGCTGGGCATGCCAGGCGATCTCCGAATAGGAAATGTGCCCCTCTTCCACAGAAAAAGTGCATGGGCAGACCTACCACCTTTATCAGAGCAGAAGTGGGAAAGAGGCCAGTGAGTAAAGGTGTAAATAATACTGAACATACTTATTACGTGAGGAACAGGCCATGGCCCAGGCAGCCAGATCCACAAACAACCAGATAAGGGAACATGTGCCACAAGATAGCACATGCTATCACCCAGGCACCACCGATGGGGCATCTTAGGTCACAGAGCTTAGAGGTCTTTTCCAGAAAAGTCAGGTAAAGCAACCAAGGAAAGATCGGCCACAAGGATCTCCAGCTCCGTTGTCTGTGGGATGTAACTATGGCAGAGTTTTCAAGTTAAATGTCTTCTTTCTGAATAAAAGGTAGCAGAATCATTCAGTAAATTGTTTCATTTTCTTTTTCAATAGATAACATTCTATTTTTATGTGCTGGGAAATATTCAATTTGAAAGTAATACTATAAAACTCATCAGATTACAAACATATTCTGAGGGAAACTCAGTATAACTCTTCAAGAAACCAGCATTTCCCACCTTTAAGTATTGGTGTTTGGGACAGTATTCTCTCTCCTCTGCCAGAACCCAGTGACATCAGTTGAGTTATGCTGTGATGCAGTGGGTGGAAGCACTGGGGCTGTGCAGGATAGATCTGAGCTGGAATCCAGTCCGCCACGTACTTCACATGGGAACATGGGTAAGTTGTATGGTTCCTCTTAGCCTCAGGCACCTCATCTACTCTCTAGTGCATATACGGAGACAGAGCAAAGCAGCACTAGCCTGGCACTGTCCAATCAAGATTCACTGTGAGCCACGTATGTAATTTAAAATTTTCTGGCAGTCACATTTAAAAAAGTAAAAAGAAACAAGAAAATTAAATAATATATTTAACCCAATATATTACCATTTCAATATGTGATCAATATAAAAATTATTAATGATATACCTTACAATCTTTTCTTCGTATGTCTTCAAAATCCACTGTGTATTCACACTTAGAGCACATCTCAATTAGGACAATATGGCTCAAGTGTATCAGTTAGGATTAGTTTCAATTGAAAATCCAACGAACAGTGACTTAAACAAGACAGAATTTCTCTACCATGTATATGAGGTCTGAAGGTAAGCTGATCAGAGTTGGTATGGCCACTCCATAATCATCGGGCCCCTGTCTTCTCCTAACATGTTGCTCCACCATCCTGAACACACAGCTTCCTATGTGGTCTAAGATGGCTGCTTAAGCTTCAGTTATCACAACTGTATTCCAGCCAAGAAGAAGGAAAGAAGAGTACCTGTTATGAGAAGTTGTATACAGCTCTTCCACTCACATCCCTTTAACCAGTCATTTGGTCATTTGGCCATACCTAGCTACAAGGGAGGTCGGGAACTGTAGTCTTTATTTCAGCCAGCCAAGTATCCAGCTAAACAACGATAGGAGGATGGATACCATGGGGACACTAGCAATCCTTCCATAATACAAGTCTCATAAGGTTGATGGAGTGAGGAGAGTACACTGTAGCCATTGGTATTACATGAAAAGTACATTAAAACATGGTTTTATTACTATGATTCG